TTAGATATTTTATTTTATTAGATTATTAGATATTTTTCTCAACATGAGTTTTTATGAGGGAACTTTTTAAATGTTAATTTTGCAATTTTTTTACCCTTTAAAAGTAAATCACTTTTTGTTACATGCAAGTAGGGTTGGGGGGGGGACATTGTGGATAATGCAGTTTTTCTAGTATTATTAAATACATTTTCAAAACTAAGATGTGACAAGTCCAGGCTTTTACTGCAACAGTGGTGTCTACCTTCATACTGCTCTGTTTGCCACTGTGATATTTCAGTTCATTCAAATTCAGCAGTCAAAACAACTTGAAATACACAAAAGCTGGGAATCGGGTTAAGTCACCTTAGCTTTGAGGGGTTGGCTCTGTATGTACATTCCACATGTATCCCGGCATTTGTTTAGCTCCAACACTCTTGTCCTACACGCATATCAATGTATCTATAGTTACATACATGCTTATATATATGTGTGTGTGCTTATTTGTATATATAATAGAAAAAAACAGCTACGTTGTCATTGTCAAATACTGAGTAAATCTAACAGAAAAGCACTTATAGGCACCCAGTTTTGTTTGTTCATTACAAATATTTTAAAATAAGGACAGTCCTTGGGAAATTATTTTTCTGTACATAGGAGGATATATTTAGGACCTAATTTAAAAGAATAAAGAAGGGCAGTAAGAGTATCTTAAACTAGCCCAGTTGCTTGATATAGTTGTCAAAGGCTCTGCTGCGACCGCAGGTGAATTCCTCGTGCTGCTTGTAAACCTGCGGGAGTGTCCCTAACCCTGGATTTAGCGGTCAGTTCTGGACATCGTGCAAGTGAAGGGAGTTGGGGCTTCATCTGAGTCCCCCCACCCTGTCAGACCCCCGGGGCAGCAGCTCCTGCCCCCCGTGGTGGGGGTGGGTGAAAGGGGAGGGCAGGCATGCGGGGCAGCTGGGGGAAAAAAGGGAAGAAATAGGGGCAGAGCTAAAAAGGAAGAGCTTGGTGAGCAGCAGGACCTCTGCCAAAAAAACCCCATGGGTGGGTGTCCATCAGGTGATGGGCTGGAAAGGAAATCCCTCCCAGCTGTGGTGGGTGCTCTGTGGTGTAAGCCATTCTCGCCAGGAGGAAGGGGGAAGGTGAGGTGCAGGACTGTAGCACCTTCTTGGTGCTGGTCCGAGTGCTTGGCCAGCTCTGCCTCTGCTCTCACTCCCTCTCACCACCTCCTTCAGGCTTTCCCAGGTTTGCACCACCATGAGCTGTTTTTTTGGGTGACCGGGGCAGCACCACCACCTGAAAGGTCACGTTGGTGTGGAGGTACCTGCATCAAGCCTTCCACACTGCCCACATCCATCCCACCTCGGCGATGTCCATAGCAGGACCCTGCCACCGCAGGTACGGGCTCCCCCCGTGGTCAGACAGCTCCTACCCCAGGGGGAAAAGGCAAAGCCACTCCCCGTGGGGCACGTTTTTCCCGGAGGGCTTTGGTTTTGTTAACAGCTTGTGCAGAATTACCCTAGTCCAGACCTCAAGATGCCACAAAGGAATTTAGATGCCGGCCAGCAGCCTTCGCAGACTGTGTAATGGGTATTTTCTACTTTGTGACTGGGAAAAAAAAAGATAGCCGTAGTATTTTTTTTTTTTTTCAATGCTAATACTTAGAATTGGGGAATCCCACTCCCTGCTGGTGGTGGTGTTACTTTCTAGTGCACTTTTTGCTGCCGAACAAGTCATATCAATTAATTTCCCCCCCCCTTTTTTTTTTTTTTTAAAAAGGAGGTATTGTACTGTCTGTAGTATTCATAAGATGCTAAAAATAACAAAGGCGTTATAAAATAACTGTTATGTGTATGTCTTAAGATCTGGCCAAATAGGAGAAAAAGTTACTTTTCCATTTTCTCTGAAAAAAAGAAGTCATTTGTATTGTTCATTTACATCACATCTAACTATTCTACAGTAAAACATTCAATACCGTGAAGTTGGTTTCTTCTGATTTTTAAAGCATTCATAAGGGTATAATGAATAATTATGAATCAGACAGCGCTGTTTCTCATAAGACAATTTCAACTGTACTTGGGTTACTCTCAGTGTGTTGTTTCCTCAGCCACTGTTGGTGAAATAATTCTGTTTACAGACAAGGTCAAATTAAACTAAAGTCCTTAAAATGTATTCACCTGTTTGAGGAATTGTGCCACTTCCCAGACTGCAGTCACCGAGGTGGAAACTGCCGATAAGGTTTTAGGCTGTGCGACTTGTTTGACACAGATGAGACTGTAGTTGTGCAAGTGAAATTATGCAAGAATAAACCCAGTTTTTTAAAAAAGTTTAACTGCGTACTGTTACATTCTTGAGAAGCACTGAAGAAGTGATTTGGTGTCAGACACATTAAGTAAACCTTCAGATCAGTATTTTTGACAAAAGGGCTACATAGGTATAAGCAAGGTGCTAGACCCAGTAGTAGGGAAATAACTTAGAATCGTAGAATGGTTTAGGTTGGAAGGGACCTTGAAGGTCATTGAGTTCCAACCCCCCTGCCATGGGCAGAGACACCTCCCACCAGACCAGGTTGCCCAAGGCCACGTCCAGCCTGGCCTTGAACACCTCCAGGGATGGGGCCTCAACAACCTCTCTGGGCAACCTGTTCCAGTGCCTCACCACCCTCACAGTGAAAAATTTCTTCCTAATATCTCATCTAAATCTCCCCTCTTCCAGTTTGAAGCCATTCCCCCCTTGTCCTAACACTACATGCCCTACTAAAAAGTTCTTTCCCAACTTTCCTGTAGGCCCCCTTTAGGTACTGGAAGGCCACTATAAGGTCTCCCTGGAGCCCTCTTCTCCAGGCTGAACAGCCCCAACTCTCTCAGCCTGTCAACTTAGCAGCATTTAGCTTTTTTTTCAGATTTGAAAATTGACAGTTGACACAATCTGTAATAAGACAGCAAAAATAAATTATCAAACCCCCCAAAAATTAAAAAAAAACCCACCCCCCAAAAAGACCCCCAACTAAAGGCACTTGCTTAACAGGCCAAGTGCCATCACTCTGTGCGTATTGTGACATTGCAGTCCCTGCTCTGGGGCCAGGCACGCCAGCAGCAACGTTTACACAGCTTGTCAGCGACCGCCTGTGGCTCTGCTGCCTGAGGAAATAGGAAGTCCCATGCTGATCTCTCCCCTCATTTTTGTTAATAATTACTGATTTTGGCCGGCTGCCCTGAGAGCAATATCCTTGCTATCCTGTTAAGCAGTGGGTCCCTTTGCCCGGCTCAGCACCCACTAACGCCTTGCACCTCGAGGATGGTTTGTTTCTTTTTCCCCCCAGCTGTTTTAGGGCTGGGTTGGAAAAAAATGGGGCAGCGCTGTAGCCAAAGCGCCGGTTTGTAAATCACCGCCACTGCAGAGGTAGGTGGGATGGGGCGCCTCAGGAAGCTCACCAGCTGTTTGTCCAGGCTGCGTTTATCCAGCTGAGAGGGGGCCACCCACCTTCAACGCTGACCCCATGCGTTCCCTCCCCTTCCCCAGCACAAGCCCACCCTGTCGCTCTGCTCCCAGCCTTCCTCTAGAAGGACCCCTTCATTCTGCCTCGGGCTTTCCCATTCCCAGCCTTTCCCACCACTCCAGCAGCCCCAGGAGCTGAGGGCAGCCTTTACTACTTCTACATCCCCTCCAGGCAGGAGGTCCAGCCAGCAGCCCTGGGACGGCTCTGGTGGGAAACATACTTCCAGCACAAAATACCAAAGAAAGCAAAAGGCTAAATATGCTCTCCCCTGCAGGGACTACTTCTATTTACGAAATGTGTTCAAAAAAAAAAAAAAAGAAAGTGGCTGGTTGACAGCTTTCACAGGTTTCAAGAATCACAGAATGGTCAGGGTTGGAAGGGACCTCTGGAGATCATCTAGTCCAACCCCTCTGCCAGAGCAGGGTCACCTACAGCAGGTTGCACAGGACAGCGTCCAGGCGGGTTTTGAATGTCTCCAGAGTGGGAGACTCCACAACCTCTCTGGGCAGCCTGTTCCAGTGCTCCACTACCCTCAAAGTAAAGAAGTTCCTTCTCATGTTAAGATGGAACTTCCTATGTTCAAGTTTATGCCCATTACCCCTCGTCCTATCACTGGGCGCCACTGAAAAAAGACTGCTCCCATCCCCCTGGCACCCTCCCTTTAAGTATTTGTAAGTATTAATAAGATCCCCCCTCAATCTTCTTTTCTCTAGACTAAAGAGACCCAAGTCCCTCAGCCTTTCTTCATATGAGAGATGTAATAATCCTCCTGGAGTGAGCTAGCACTACTAGCTGCACACCCTACCCCAGCAAGAACGGTACTCGTTCAGGTTTAAGTCAAACAGCAGTTCTCGACCAAGGACCAGCAGTGAGACACAGGCATTTTACACTCCTTTACAAGCCCGTCCAAGATTATCTTAACAGAAAACAGAGACACTGCACTTCAAGAGGGAAATGGGACACTTACAAATTCATGTCCAAACGTTAACTGGGAAGCACATGCAGCCGGTTATGACAACGCTGCCATAGTGCTCATTAGTTGACAACCACTGTCCCATTCCAAACATTTTTGTATGTAGTTTTCTGTTACAAAGACCTTAGCCTCTCACTAGTAAGCTTTTAGAGAGCAACTGTAGCTTAAGGCATATACAAAACTCTCTCCAACGACACAGACATGGAAGTAAACCAGGCCTGGTAACAGCGTTCGCTGCTCAGAATGCACTGTTTTAACAGCCACTGTATTTATGTTGTATTTATGAAAGGATCTATCAGTGGCAGTTCTGCCATTCACGCCTCCCACACACGGAAACAGCACGTGCGGCAGCAGGACTCTTGCACTGCCATCCCGACAGTACCCTGTGCAAAACTTTTCCGTGGAGACTGACAGAAGCTCAGCAGCAGTGACCCCGTTTGTCAGCTCCTACAGCATTTATCCTCCATTCCCCTCAGACCAACGTCCACCTGCATTCCTGGTGAGCTAGATTTTCAGCTGTGCCTTTGAATCAAAATACTTTACACCTTCTTTCAAGAAGAAATAGTTTTATTGTTTCCATCTGACAGGTTTTACCATGAATGACTCGGAGAGCTTGCTAGACAGTCTCTCTCATAATTTTGGTGAGTTTCTGGATCTTTGATCTTGTTGACATGTCCACATACTTCTCCCCAATATTGACAATCATGCCACCAAGGATGGACGGATCAGTCTAAAGAAGAAACATTGAACACAAATTCTATTAATAAAAATGTTAGCAAATTCTATTAGCAAAAATATTAGCCTCGTGTACAATTTTTACACTAGTAAAAAAAGAAAAAACCCTTTAAGAGAGCCTTTTTTAAGATAACTTTACAGTCACTGTATTCTAAAGTTAAGATTTTAGTAATTAAAGCATCATCATGTCTACAAGAAAACACAGAACTATGTAATACAGCAACTGGATTCAGTAAAATGACTTTTTCTTTTTTAAAGATCAGAAAGACAGAAGTCCAGCTTAACATGACCTTGATGAGATTTATTTACAAATCAAAAATCCAGACCTTGGTCTCCAGCTTCAAGACCTCTCCCTTAGCCAAGAATCCACTCAGAGCACTTTTTAGCTCAGTAAGGTTGGCATCATCCAAGGGCTGAAAAATATGAATAGAACACAAGGAAAACGAAGGACTGACTTAAAAATGTTCAAATGATATACTGAGAACCCAAATTTTCTGTTCAGTTTCTTCTAAAGACAGACACTTCCACCATGAAGGCAGATCAAGTAGCCTTCTTGGACAGGAATAACCAAAGGACAGCAGAGAACCAGCAGTCACTTTGTGCCCTCCTAATTTCATGAAACATTGTGTTATTTGTGCACATATTCCCAGCAGAAGTTTGATGCTGACATCTTCAGATGGCAAGCGTCAGGAATCTGTATTTGCCAAAGCAAGTACTTGATAGAAAACCTTGAGATCTACCCCACAGCAGCATTCAGGCTGTACAAGGGGAGATTAATTTTGATGCTTCTAACTATTGAAATTATCAGCTTGAGAAGAAACACAGTTTCACGTAAAGTACTGGGCAGTGACTGGGGACACTGGCAGTGAGCTCCCAGCCCTGCTGCAGGCTTGCAGAATGCTCCTGGCTAAGTACACCTCTCTCCATCACCACACAAGAACTCTGCATCCCTGTGGGAGAGACACTGTTAATTTGTCCTTGTTTCCCCTACAAGTTGCTCGGATACCACTGAGATAGAAACAAAAAGGGACTTCTCCGAAGAGTAGTGGCTTTGTGTTAATGGCTATTTAAATAATTTCTACTTAATATCAAGCGGTTTGAGTGCCAAAAGAAACTAACAATGAGAAAAGCAGCAGGAAAGTAACTTTACGCATGAAATATTTAGTAAAACCTGTGGAAAGGTTTGCACAGGCTTGTGAGTTCACACGTCCCTGTGAAGGCTACCAACTAGACTGACAATTTGTGCTTGTGGCCTACAGAGAGCCAAGTGAACCTGAAGTGGATGAGTTTCTTTAGTCCAGGTAGGCAGTTCACCATAGCCCTACCCAAAGGCTATAAATTTACATTATATACCTCGCTGACCAGCTTCCCATTCCAGCAGACCTGGGCATGGATCCATTAACAAAGAAGTTACTGAAGTGTCAGAACCACTGTGCATCCAGCCTGACATTTACTTCTTTCCTCTCACCTTCCTGGGCACCAGCCAGACTTGCCTGTCTGCTACGTTTGAAAAAGTTTTCCTGTTGTTTTGGAGTTAACCAATCTTATCCTGATTACTGCAGGTGGTGAATTAGGTAACTGTTCCCCACAAAGCACAGCACCAAGCACCACAGACATTCTCAGTCCTGTCAGGTATCTGCCTTGCTCTAGCTAATAGCTCATTGGACCTGACCTGTACGATCGTGATGACAGAAATAAGAACAGAGCCAGCTGTAACTGCAGACTCAGTATGACCTTTATCAGCCACTGGGTTCACACATAGGAAAGAAAGATGCTACCTGTTACGCTGAAATGGGAGGAACAGGTTGCATTTTTGACCGATAATTGTTGGACATCAAAAAACCATTTGCAGAAAGACTTCCATTTTGGTAGAGGCGAGATATTTTCTCACTACTTGTATAGCAAGTACTTAAACTACAGATAGCAACATTAAGCTACAGAAGTTTGCCTTTTATACCGCTACTGGTTAAGCTTGATCTAGAGGTTCCTAACTCACCTGTGCAGTGGTGACTGTGCACAGCACTTCTCCTCGGTATGCGCTCATGATCTTCCCAAATGCAGAAACGATGTCTGGAGTGTAACGTAAGCGACCGTTTTCAGCAAGCAAATCTGGAAGCAGCAGATGCATTGAAAGGGTTTCAAGTACCCACTAGAAGCAGATTTGGTTAGGTACCAGTAAAAACAAGTATCTTCAGATGTTTTTCAGAATTCAAATGGCTACTCACTCATCAGGTTGACAGTAATAGGGGACATCTTCTCTTTTGCTAAGGCATCGTTCACCGCTTTCTGCTTAACTGTGCTCTTGGTATGAGGGTTCATAACAACACTGGATAGCTTGGGGTCCTTCAAGAGAGTCTAAGAGGATAAACAGGCAACATGACAAACACCAGGAGCTCTCCAGGCATCACAAGGCTTAACTGGACCACCCAAAACGGGCAGCACGGCCATCCCCTGACTAAGAACGAAGAGGTCCAAAGCTGCTGAGAAGTGAAATGGCAGCTCCAGGTATAGCTCATTTATAGTACGTTTCTGTCCGAGCTGATGGCTCCTCCAGCACCGCTTCCAGGCAGCTCAACGCCAGGTGTGCAGCGCAGACACCAGGCCTGCTGCCAGAGGGAAAAGCCGAGCCCCCCTCCCTCCTCAGCAGGAGCAGCAGCCGAGACCCCCCCACCCCCTTCACCAGCTCGGGGCAACGCAGAGCTGGAGACA